AAATTTTTTTTTTTTTAAGTGACTATGATTTGCATGTCTTGCCAGGAATTAAGCTCAGCCTCTGTGGGGTGTTGGGGAAATATTTTTCTTTCTTTTTATTTTTTTTGTGGGGTGGGAAATAAGGGAGGGCATTAAAGTTCTATGATTCTGGAATAGTTGGTGGTACATAGTCACTTGGCTTTGGCTACACATTGAACTTTTACAACTGAAGAGTCCATGAATGTCATTTTTAAAAAGTTGCAGAACAAGCAATTTGTTTAGTAGGTATTTAATCAGAGAAAAATGCCCCTTCCGATATTTTTATGTAATTGTATTCCTGGGAGCAAAAACATAATTCTGCTTTTCAATTGTAGGTGTTCCAGACTTGCCCTCTGTCAGTAACACTAAATGTGCTGTTTTTCTTGTTTTTCATCAAACATCTGATGAGAAATTATATCTTTCTGTAAATTCTTTCCCTTTTATGATTTCTCAGAAAAGTTTCAAAGCGGAAGTAAAAAGCCCATGAAATAAAAATTTTTCTTAGTTCATGTTTTTAGCCAGTGAGGAGATCATAAACTCTGCCTATAGAAGGTGTTTTCATGCAAACTATACTCTGAGCATTTTAGCTTCTAATTATATCTTAATAAATATATTTTATTACTAGAGCAGAATGGATTTTATAAGGAAAATAATGTGAGATTTGGGAATTTTTCTTCTGGGCAAAGAGCAACGCCCCTACTTACCATCACATTGTCATCCTGTTGCACTGCAGCTTGTGTATAGCATGCTAAAATTTTTTATGTGTGTAGAAATGAAGGGTCCAATTTAAGATTGGGTGATGTTTGTGGCATAAAAACAAGTTCTCTGACCTGATAGAGCATTGCATCTCTCTCACAAATACATACATACAGAAATTAGTATATCCATGTATGTCAAATGCAGGTTAAGATAACAGGGCATTTTTTTACAAGGTGTTTTCTAATAAAAGGAGACTGAATCCCTGGGGACTTGAGACAGAAAGTAGGAAGTAACTGCTTTTGCTCTGTGGGCTGATTAAGAAATGTCCAGTTTTGAGAGAGTGTAGTATGAATGGGTTTTCTTGTTTTGTTGATTATTTGAGACTTTTAAACAAGTAGTTCATGAAAGAAGCTGTTGGACTCAACATAGAATAGAGAAACTAAAATATCTTTAATCTGGATTTCTGCCCTGCTTAGATTTTAAAAGTATAAGCATGGATTGCCAATTCCACTTGATGTAAACAAACTTTTTATATATAACATATATAATTTATTCTTACTGTATCAGTCCAGGTTCAGAAACTTGTGGTAGGCCAGTTCCAGATAGTTTCATTTCACCTATAAACTGTATCACTTTTACTGATATTGTAATTTTCAAATGTCTGATATGTTTATAGATGTGCCCTGCATTTAGTCTGCCTTGTTCCTGTTTTGATTTTTGTTGAGTCTCCTGCCTGCTTGCCCAAAGCTAGGATGCTTCAGGCCCATGTACAATTGAAAGCAGAGGCATCCTTGAGCTTTAAAGCATTGAACAAACTGGAAAATGCAACACGCCATATACTGAAGTAAAAGGTCTGTTTCTGTGTGTGTTTTTTTTTAAATAAAATATTTTTTAAGTTTTAAAAAATTGATTAAAGAATCAAAAAAGAGCTCCAGTTTGTTTTATTGGTTTTAAAGTTCTGCTGTGTGTTCAGTTGCCTTGTGTAAACCACTTGTCGCCTTAGGGCCAGATTCTTTTTTTTTTTTTTTTTTTTTAATTTAAACTGTTCCTTTTGCTTGGCTTGAATTTTAAAGCTCTTCTGACTCACAACTCACAGGAAATTTTCTGGGTTTGTGACATACAGAGGTTGAATGAATATGTTTTTTTTAAAGAATAAAGGATAGCCCCATCAGAATTGGGCTTTTAGAAGCAACACTTGATTTTAAAAGGAAGAAAAATGAAAAGTAGAGTGGAAAGCTGTGGCTTTCCTTCTTTCCATATCCTTCCGGCCTCCATGTTCCGAGATGTCAAAAAAGTTTACTCTGTTTGTCCAAAGGTTTTCCAGAGTTTTCCTTCTGAATGAAAGAAACAATGCAACATTTCATTTCATTTCTCCACTAAAGTTTCCTTTATTGTATGGTTAGTATATAGTTAGGAATGTCTTTAACCTTCTGGGAGCCCTATTGCCCCTTCATAATAACTGTCAGTATTTTTGGGCATTGGGTTAATGGACTTAATTGCCTAGGTACAAGCAGGTCTTTGGGACATATCTCTGTGCTGTTTTGTAACACTTAACTCTACTTGTCAAATCTTTCTCCTTAGGTCCTCACACAATTCCTTACAGAGCACTTATTAAAAAAAAATCTTAAGAGTTGATCTGTTTTCTGATTATTTTTGTGTAAACTTCTAAACAAACTTCAGCTGTGATTAATTTAGCACATTTAAATAATATTAATGTGTTATTGGGTATAAAGAACTTTCCTTCAACTCAGAGTATTAGTACTGTAGCATAAACCAAATACAGTCGTGAGGGGATTTTTAACATCCCTCCATTAAAATGACTGAAAAAGGTGTGTGTCTGTTTATGTGTGTATGTGTTGAGTGCTTATGTATGTGTGGGAAAGAGGGAGATAGTAAAAATTAGAAAGTAAATGAATGTGTGTAAGACATTAGTATTCAAGAGAATAAACTTGTATTTATTTTGTGCCATTTGTTTTCATTACACAGAATAAAGTCAGGTGGTTTTAATCCTTAAAGGGTAGTGTTTGAAAAATGGCACTAAGAATGAAATCATGACCTATTTTTTTAATAGCTATGAAGATACTAATTATGGGTGAAGATTTCTTTTTAAATGTCTTGATTGTAGACTTCTGTGTTACATACCACTCTTGTAGATGTCTTATTATCCCCTCTCCCCACAAAAGACAGGGTGTATTTATCATTTTAACTCACCCACGCTTTTCTGAATTGAAATTACTTGCATAGCCTTTCTTTTAACCTCTTTAGTAAAGAACCTTTACATTGTTGTGTTCATGCTGCCTGTAGTAGCCCTTCTACCTTTTTTAAAAAAAAAAAGTGTTGCCCAATAACAAGGAATTTGTTAAAAGCAATTGTTTGAGGTTTTTATCCTTGAAATAAATGTCTTGGGAAATGTTCTCTTAAAATTTTGCTGTCCTACTCAGTTATCTACTTAGCTTACTCAGAATCTAAAAAAAAAAATTCTTAAAGGCGAAAGAATGCTGCATGTTTCTTTTCCAATAACAGTTTTTAGGGAAAATATAACACATCTCCTTGGAGTTGTCCATAATATAAAATGTGTTTATTCACAAAACGCTGCATAGCAGGGATAGTTTCATAGGTTTTTAGGCTTATGGCTAAACCCACATTAGAGGTATCTAATGGTTTATCTTTTGCCTTTGGTTGTAATTGCTGTAATTTTTTTAAACTAAAAAAGCCATTTAGCATGAAATTGGATTTACCAAATGGCTAGAGCCAAGGAAATTTGGAAGAGGACTTGATTTTAAACTGCTGTGGAGAAGTTATTCTGTAAGACATAGAGAACATCCCACCAGTGGGCCATGTCTTAAATATCACAAGATCTATCCTCCTCCTACACAAAGCTAATTCAGAAAAACAAGCTATTGTTGAACGGAGAAACCTGTATTAAGGGTGATAATTTCTATAGTAAGGTTTGTTCAGACTGCACTACTTAGGGTGGATTCTGATGGCTCATTCTAGTCTCACTTGTAATTTTTGAGGATTGGGCATAAGAACTATTTATCTCTTTTCTCCCTCTCCCTCAGGAAGAAAGTAGTGATTTGTTTAAAAGAAGGAACACAAGACTAGCTTCATAATTAGTTGCTCTGAGTTTTATTAGTGTGATTTACAGTACCAGGATTCTATTAAGGTGTAGAAAATGGGCTTTTTTTTTTTTTTTTTTTTTTGCTTTATCTTAAAATGTTTCCTTTTAAACATAAATCAGTCTGTTGATGTTTGGTAACCAGGACCACCCTGATTGATGTAAGGAATGATTAATCACTCCATTCAAAAGCACTGCTTTACTGAGTTTTCAATTTCACACTGTTTTGTTACACACAAAGGTTTTAAAGTAGGTGGGTGCCAGAAATATTACAAATACAGTTTCAGGTCTTCGTCATAATGAAAATCCCCAAGTGGAGCACAGATGTTACAGTGCTTTGCATTACTCCGAATGTTAAATAACAGTTACAGGCTAGAAAATGATGGAACATATATTCTCACATGCAGTGGGACTGCTGGTTCAGACTTCTATTTATTCATAAAATTTTGTTTATGTCCAGAGTTATAAAGCCATTTTATAATACTGCAGTATCTTTTTCTACAGTCTTATTAAAATAGCTGTAAACGTTTATTTTCCAATTCAGTTCCACTTTATTGTATATCACAACTGTACTCTGTAGACCAACTAGAGGTAGATGATAGCGCTTTCCATATACCCTTTTTTTCCTCAGGTGCTAAACAGAAGCTCCAAAAATGGATACTGCTTTAGAAATGTTTGCTTTATTTTTAAAATACTTCTTTTGCTAGATGTAAAAATTTGGTGTTAATAAAAGTGATTTTACTATGTAAATATGAATGAATGCCTTTAGTTATTAGCTCCCATTTGTCTATTAGTATGTTTCAATTAACCTCTTAGGAGGAGACCCTTTCATGACCTTGAATACATTTCATTAAGTATTGTTGCATTTTTAGAATGGAAATAAAACTTTTCTTTCTTGGATTAATCCTGCTGCTACTATGAGTAACTGAAAATCAAGAATGTGATGCACTTTTTACATTACTATTTACCGTACCATTATAGATTACTTTAATTCCTGTAGCACAGCCACTAACAAAAGTG